GCTACTCACAGTATATTCAATCATGGGAGTGATTACATTAAAACACAGAGACACACAATCTTAACTATCACACCTTGAGAAGCTTATTTTTCAGGAGGACCAGAATAAAACCAAAAACCCTGTTGCCAGGGTTGGTTCCGACCTATAGCGACCCTATAGGACAGAGAAGAACTGCCCCATAGGGTTTCCAAGGAGTTCCTGGTGGATTCAAACTGCCAACCTTTTGGTTAGCAGCCATAGCTCTTAACCACTATGCCACCAGGTTTTCTGGAGGACCAGAATAGTGTTCTACAAATAGACACTCAAAAAATGATCAGTGTAAGGCCCTTCAGAAAAGTGCATTTATTTGCCATAAAAACAAGATTAAAAAACCAATGACAAAAGAGAAGCCTTTCATTCTGGATGGTACTTGTGAAACAAATTTGAGACAGTATATTTATAAACAGCTTTTATTTATTAGTAAGACTTTAAAATTTTCTTTAATGGAAAGCAATCTTTCAGAAGAACTGAATATTCTCTTTTCTGTCAAAAGCAAAAGGTTGGCTAGGCTTTCTCTAATGAGCAGATTATGTGATAAAAATAATGCTAAATTAAGTCATTTCTAAAATCTTTGATCCAAGCATTCGACCATGCCAAGAAGTATCTAGCTTATGTGACAGACAAGAGTTTAGAAAACAGAATATAATTTTTAAAACTACAGGACATTCCATTTCAAAGATGCCATAGCTATGGTAGTTTCAAAATTTCTTATTTATTGAAATGTTATATAAAAATTGCTGCAACTTAAGCTTATAAATCTAAATTGCAAATACCAGGCCTATGTCTTTTCAGCCAATGATTTACTTTATGCTTTCTAAGTGCTACCTTCATTAAAAATGTGTTTAATATTCTTTCTACAAACTTTTACAAATTTCCTGTTTAGTCTTTTCTGAGCTAATCTGATGCTTAAATGATCTGAAATGTCAACAACACCAAAAATATAACATTTCCCAAATGATTAAAGCCTTGTACCTTTCATTTGACTAAAGAAATCAATCATCAAGTTCTGTCAATGCTCCTACGTACCTCTCAAATACATCTACTTCAAATGCACTTGCCACTGCCTTAATTTGGGCTTCCTGTCTCAACTAGGAGCCCTGGTGGTACAGTGGTTGAGCACTCAGCTGCTCACCAAAAGGTTGATGGTTTGAACCCACTAGCCACTTCAAGGGAGAAAGATGTGGCAGTCTGCTTCCATAAAGACATACAGCCTTGGAAACCCCATGGGGCAGTTCTACTCTGTCCTTTAGGGTTGCTATGAGTTGGAATCAACTCAACGGCAATGGGTTAACTGCCTTCTGGGTTTTAACTGCCTCCAAGTTCTTCCCCGTTCCATACATTCTCCATATGGTCATATGATCAGATTTGTGTTTTAGAAAGATCATGTTACCCCTCTGCTTAAAACTCTGCACTGGCTCCTTGTCATGCTCCACCTCCTCAGTATATCCATTGCCTCAATGATCTGCCTCATACCCACTTTTCCCATCACATTGCTTCACACTTGACTAATCTACTGTAATGAACTATTGGCAGGGCCTCTGCACAAGCTCTCCTTTCTCTAGGACCATCCTTTCATACTGATTTCTGGTGAATTCTATCATCCTTCACAACCCAGCTCAAACATTACCTCCTCTACATGGCCTTCTTAAAGCCCATCTTTAGTTCAAAGTTAATCACCTCCTCTTTAAAACCTTGTAATATACTATTGCACTTATCACACTCTAATTATTCATTTATATATTTGCCTTGCTTATATCACAAGAATCTTCTTGAGGTCAAGAAGGGTGCTTTCTGTTTGTTGAACTGAACTGAAATTGCCCTAATGATCTGAGTAATTGGGAAACAGAGATGGGATGTTTTCAGAATGATTCATGGTGTCCACGATGATCATGTTTCTCCACAGCAAACACAAATCTTACTTTTTTTTTTCAATTATAGGGATTACCAGATCCTCTTTGAATAGCATGCAAAATGTAAACTCTCTCCTAAATTAGGTTAAATGAAAGCTAAGTATCTAGGTGGTTATTAGCCAATGTTTGCTCTGCGTAATTTGAGCTCAATTAGTAGATTATCACTTTTTCATCAAATACAGATTGAGTGCTTCTGGTTTAGTGCAAAATATATACATTATACCTTAAATATTTTAGCAGGATGCAAAGTAGATAAGTGGATAGGTTATTTACACTGTGCACCAGGAACTAGCATCTATTAAACTTTATCATACAAACACACCGGGAGAAAGTAGAGTCCCAACATATTGGAAACTTATTTTGTAAAATAATTCATTTGGGAATAGTAAAAATTATGCAAGAGGTGCCTATTATCAAATCCCAATGGAACAGAAGTAGTGGCAAAAGAAATACAGAAAAAAATTGTGGCTTCAAGTATTTATGGTAGACAGCACTAAGTCATGTAGCAAACACCCAGGTGCAATGTACAAATGTTTCAAGATCCAAATCTGTTCCTCTGTGACTACAGCCACAACAGGGTTCTCTTTCTGGGATGAGAAATAACAAAGAAAGTAATAAAGAATAACATTTAAGGATAAAGTCTCCCCTCTCACCACATACCAGCACACAGAGGTAACTTAAAACTAGTTTTAACTACAGGAATTTCCCTATTAGTCATAAGAGTTTAGCACAAGTAATTTGTCTACAGCATTTAAAATTATTTCATGATTTTTCTTAATTGTTCTTTTCTGTATTTTGCAGAGGTTTCACACTCAACATGTATTATTTCTGAAATAAATCATTTCTTAAGAGTTACTCAGAATATCCTTAACCATATTAACTTGCCCGACTTAGGGTTTTCCTATGAGAATGTTATTATTTTTTCTTTTTTTTAAACTTGAGGTTCATTTCCTAGAATCATATTCATTTATTTCCTATTTTGCAAAGGAAAATCTGGCTGAAATAAGCATCCAGCTCTGAGAAGGAAACTTTTTTGTTGCGATGGCAATGACATTGAATGACACTTCAACTAATTCTAAAACTTTTTTCTATAGCCAGGCCACATATGCCAGTCTAATTCAGTCACCAAGTAATTTCTTAAGCACTGCTATACTATGATAAATACAAAGTATTTTTCTTTAGCAGGTAGATAAAAACAAAACAAAAATAAGGAGCAAAATCCTACTAAATCAACTTCCTAAGAACAAATATGATTCTAATGCAGCAATTTTTCAAAGTATACAAAGTACCCAATATGTAATAGTACTATAAATTGTAAATTGAGTTTCATTTCCGTTTTTCAAAACCAGTTAAGCCCAAAAAAAAACCTAGGTGCATTTTTAAATTTAAATATATTTCAAATTAGGAAAATGTGTAACACCAGTTGTTAGCTACTCATCCCCCTCCCCTCATAAAGACTTTTTAAAATGGAATCTATAAATTTAAAATTCTATACATTCCTTAATAACACAATTGTCAATAAAGCAGTGATTAGCAAAGGGAACGTCCCTTTTTCTCTCAATCTCGTCTTTCATTTATTCCTATCTTACACACAGAAGGATTTATGTAAACATTATTTTCAGCCTCACATACTTTTTCACTTATTTCACGGTCTGTATCTGTTTCACTTATTTATGTTGTAAAGTTTTATGATTTTTAGAAAAAACACTGCTGCCACTTTTATCTTTTATAAAACTAACTACGCCAATTAAAGAAAGAACTGCCTTTCTTTATTATTTGGTGATTTAGTTTGCAGTTAATCAAAAAAAGGTCCCACCAGCTCACAGCAACAGAAATTAGGAGGCTTTGCGCCATATGCCCAGCAATTTTGTGATTCACTCAGTAACTAGCAACTTCCCAAGGTAAATATTTGAAATTCCACTTGTCAAGAATATATAAAAAGAAAAAAAAAAAGTGCTACAAGAAAATAGTACACCATTACCATAAGTGCTTTCTCATTTCTGTGGGAAAATGATCATTCATTTTAACAAAAACTGTTCCAAATTTGTGATGCTAAATAAACTACTAAAAATGTTGAATATGCATATGTGCATGATCAAGTTAGCTGTGAGCAGAGTATATGAAAAGTATATATCTAGGTGAAGAGTAATCAAAGCTACCTCCTATTGAACATGTATAGGGTGCATGTAAAAATAAAAATGTTCAATAAACTAAAACTCAACTGGCATTTTATATTTCTTAAAATTATTTTGCTTATAAAACACTTGTCCCATATCTTATTAGGTACTTGTTTCAATTATCTAAAAAAGTCTGATGAATAAACCTTCCTTCCCTTAATAATGGGAACAAATACTCATGTGTGCCTTTAAAGATACAGGTACAGTCAAAGGCAGATATGATTCCCTTAAATCTTAATATTTTAGACATCTCACTGGGTTAAGTGTAATGCCTCCTTAGTTATCTAGTGCTGCTATAACAGAAATACGGATGGCTTTAACAAGGAGAAAATTTATTCTCTCACAGACTAGGAGGTTAGAAGTCTTATCAGGTTGCCAGCTACAGGAGTTGGCTTGCTCTGTCAACTCTAGGGGAAAGTCCTTGTCATCAATCCTCCCTGGTTGAGGAGCTTCTCAGCACAAGGACCCTGGGTCCAAAGGATGTGCTATTCTCCTGGCTCTTTTTTCTTGGTGGTTATGAGGTCCCCCTCGTCACTGTGCTTGCTTCTGTTTTATATCTCAAAAGAGACTGATTTAAGACACAACCTAATCTTGTAGATTGAGTCTTGCCTCATTAACATAACTGCCTCTAATCCTGCCTCAACACCATAGAGGTAGGATTTACAACACATAGGAAAATCACATCAGATGACAAAATTGTAGACAAGCACACAATACTGGGAATCATGGCCTAGCCAAGTTGACACACATTTTTGAGGGGCACAATTCAATCCGTAACACCTCCTTTACCTACTGCTCAGCTATTTTGCATACCCTACTTTTCTCAGACACAATTTCTAACAAACTTGGTCTTCCAGATGCATAGATGAGAAACAATCGTTAGAAGGTGCTATAGGAGCCCTGGGGGCATAGTGGTTAGGAGCTATGGCTGCTAACCAAGAGGTCAGCAGTTTGAGTCTACCAACTGCTCCTTGGAAACCCTGTGGGGCAGCTCTATTCTGTCCTATAGCATCGCTGTGAGTCGGAATCAACTCGATGGCAACTTTTTTTCTATAGGCAAAGCACGCTGATAACAAAATATAATATGTGACAGCTTACAAATGTGAAAGCCAAGGGTAAAGGTATTTTTTAGTAAGCATAAAAAGCCAAAGTTGACCCTTCTGAAGTTACTTAGAAACAATCATACACCTCAGCTAGCAGCTCAACACTTAATCACTGTGCCACCAGGGCTCCAGTCATCATGCTAGCACATTATAATTGAAGTTAATAAAGATGACCATGAGCTTCAATATAGTTCATCCTATTTAAGTATTACATTTTAATAACAGCCTATACTTCTTGACAGGGTGACCACATCTCCTAGTTTGCTTGGGATTATCCCAGCTTAAGCCTGTTGTCCTGGAATAATTATTAATAACTCTTTCTTCCACTCTCAAAAAGTGTCCTGGTTTGGACTGTAAATCTTAAGGTCATCCTACTAAGTGCTTACTATGTACCAGGAACTATACTAAGTGCTTCCATTTATCCTCACAATCCTGTGAGATGGGGTACAATTATCCCCATTTTATAGATGAAATAACTAAGGCTTTGAGAGGTTAAGTGATTTGTCTAAAACCATTCGGTTAGTAAATGGTAAAGGCCAATATATGAACAATCCAGGCAGTCTGATAGTAAAGTCCTAGTACACAATCATTATAAAATACAGCAGTATTTCCTAGAAAGGCAGACAGAGGAGCAGGAAGAACTATCTATTCCATATAGTTAAAATAAGTGTGTTTTTGGAAGAAGATTAAGAGGTTATCAGCTTTCTGAAAAAACTGTCTATACAATCCTTGTGTTTTCCAACAACTAACATTTCACAATCTCATGAATTTAAAATACTGAAACGTTTAAGAAAATCTTCGACATCTGAAATTATTTCAGAATTTTATAAGCATGGGCCTTCTTAGAAAAAATACCAAGACTGTTTTTCAAACACATTCTTGAAAGATGTTACTTTAAAAATACACTGAATAAATTAGTATGTTCTGCTCAAAATGGCAGATTATTTCATCTTTTTAAAAAAAGTAACTTATCATACGCTACAATGTAAATGCAGAGTGAAGTGTACTGGACTGGGCTCAGCTCTGCTAATCAATATCTTGGGATGTACCTTAACCTCTCCAAACTTTTCTCATATGTAGCAGAGAAATACAATTAGTTGGTAAAAGAACCTAAGATTAGATGGATTTAAAGTGCTTTTAAGGATGTAGAGAAATTGGAACCCTTGGATAATGAAAAACACAGAATTGTTGAAGATTTGTTGGCAGAAAACTTTCCTGATATCATGAAAGATGACAAGGTATCTATCCAAGATGCTGATCAAATCCCACATAAGGTAGATCCCAAAAGAAAGTCACCAAGACATATTATAATCAAACTAGCCAAAACTAAAGACAGAGAGAATTTTAAGAGCGGCTAGGGATAAATGAAAAGTCATCTACAAAGGAGAGTCAATAAGACTAAGCTCGGACTACTCAGCAGAAACCACGCAGGCAAGAAGGTAATGGGCGAAACTATGGCATTTCCAGATAAAAAGTTTAGGGAATTTGCAAAAACCAAACCAAAATTACGAGAAATACTAAAGGGAGTCCTCAGGTTAGAAAATCGATTAACATCAGATAACAACCCCAGACTAGAACACAGGACAGAGCAACCAGATATTAACCCAGATAGGGAAGTCACAAAAACAAATCAAAGCTAAAACACTGAAAATAGGGAAACAGAGACATCAATATGTAAGATGACAACACTAAAACAAAAAAGAGGGACTAAAAAAAATGCAGTCATAGATCTTTCATATGGAGAGGAAATCAAAGCAATATAAAGAAATAAGAGTGGTTTAAACTTAGAAAAATAGGGTTAAATGTTAAAGTAACCACAAAGGAAAATAACAATCCTACACATCAAAATAAATGGGAAAAACATGAAGACTCAGCAAACACAAAATCAACAACAATGAAAAAGATGAGAAGAGAAATTGGAACCATTGTCCATTATGGGTGGGAATGCAAAATGATTCAGCTGCTGTGGAACAGAGTTTGGTGATTCCTCAAAAAGTTCAATACAGAACTAGCATATGACCCAGCAATTCCACTCCTAAGTATATACCCAAAAGACTTCAAAGCATCAACTCAAAACGACACATGTACACCAAAGTTCACTGCAGCACTATTCACAACAGCCAAAAGTGAATGGAAAAACAAAATGCAGTATTCAGCCATACAAACAAATGAAGTCCTGATACATGCCACAACATAAACCTTGAAAACATTATGCTGAGTGAAGCCAGTCAATCACAAAAGGACAAATACTGTATGATCTTGCTTATATGTAATATCTAGAATAGGCAAATATATACAGACCAAAGTTTATTAGTGGTTACCAGGTGCAGCAGGAAAGGCAAAGTCATTGATTAGGAAGCAGGAGTTACTGACTATGGTAACTGAAAAAGTGCCTTTAAGTATTCTAAAGCAGCAATATTTCTCTAACTTTATTTCCTCTTTTAATTTTTACTCTTATTGTTTACCTCAAAAGTATTTGGGGAAGAAAAACTAGTTATCTGACATTAAAAAGAAAACTAATAAGATTAAAAGCAGTCATGAACGTCAACTGAGAAGCCTACATATATACTTTATACTTCATTCTGGAAAAAAGATTCTATATATCAGTTAATTAGTCCTTAAACTATGAAATTACGTGGAATAGTAACAAAGAAGTTTAATGACTTACTATAAACTTTATTTTTAATATGGTTCTTTACTTAACTACACTTATTCTGAATAAGTGGTTTAAACAAAATGTTAACTTCAAAAAGCATTTCATATTTGATACTCAGCAACCAGGCATGGTAGATAAATATTATCACTCCCACATTACAGATTAAGAAACTGAGGCTCAGGTAGATTAACTTGCCCAACTGCTTTATGACATGAAATTGACATGGAGGGATGACTCCTAAGTCTACAAAGAAAGGAAGCAATTATTTGGTTGCTCCAGAGCAAAGGAAAAGCTTCAGACTTTATTGGCCGAGACAAGACACAGAACATCTATTAAACTCATGCCGTCTTAAAAGCAATATCCATTGGAGCCTACCAGCACATCTCCAGTAGCTTTAATATTTAAAGAAAATAAATATTCACGTTGTTTTGGATCTCGAACTATTAAATCTGTGAGCAAAAACAGAACCTGTGAATAGAATAAAATTGCTTTTTCAGAGTGGCAAACCTAATGAAAAGTGTTCCAACCATCCTGACTTACCACTGCCAAAATTATTTTTTAACAAGAAAACACTTTTTAAATAATTTTCTCCCAAAGCTCATCTGCTAGAGTCCATAAACTAGTTGCTATAAAGGATGTATATCAGAGAAACGAAAAGCTATTAAGAAGTTTTTCTTCCAGTCTATTAAAAAAAGTACATTAAATACACAATGCTGGCTACACTATTTTAGATAATGATGGAAAACAACAGCTGATAGCCAGTGTGGGACAAATGCCAAAAGTTCCTGTTTGTCTGAAAATGCTAAAAATTAAATAATATAACACTCAGTTTTCGAAGATAATTATCTCCAATAAGAAAACATGTCAACGAATATCTTGAAAAAGACTAAATATAATGGTGTCTCTTTAATCTGCAATTAGTTTTAAAATTTTTAATGTTCCAAAGCTTAAGTAAACACATCTCAACAGCTTTATATATTTTCATATATTTTATTTAACACTTATAATTTTGCAAGCTAGCAGTAAAATATTGTCCTCAATATTTTATTAATTAGCACCGTATACCTTTTAAAGCTAACTGGAACACTGTTTCATTATAAATGATTGTAAAGTAAAATGATCATTTCAAATGCCAAATTAGGCTTAAATAACACGCGAATCATTAATTTTTACCATTATTTTTGGCTTTATGCACAAAGATTTCAAAGATGACTTTAACTATCAATTAAATATATCAGTTTTAATTTGTCAATCTAACAAATCAAACTATTACAGTATAAAGCCATATTTAATCTCAGAAATTATTATATAATTAAAAAGACATATATGGAAGTTGAGGAATCAGTTATAAAAACAAAAGATACTACATAGCTAATTTATAGTCCCTTATTTTTTAGAAAATGAGGAAATACCTCAGTGAAAAATTCCACGGTGCAAGTACGTTACACACACAGTTTAATCTATGTCAGTATTTTCATGCGTTGCTTACTAGAGTTTGGCCTTACCAAAAAGCCATCGAAACGTCCAGGACAACTCACAGGGACAGCTGAAAGCCTGAAATAAAACTGCTCAGCACAAAAGATCCCAAGCCATTTATATAATTTCAAAGGAAAGCTTACACATTTAACCTCTATCTTCCATCTGAAAAATAATTTAAAAATATGGAAAAAAAATCTAATTATACTCAAATTACTTCCACACATTAAAAAGTTTTTTAAAGGTTATTTTCATTTTCTGTCTTCTGATAAAATTCTTTAGAACTGTGGGGTTAAATTCTGAGCCATGACTGACTCTTTACTAGCATGCCTGTTTTGCATACCAGTAGAATCAAATCCAGTTTTGCCATTTGTGGATAACTATGACAAGATACAAAAGCATGTGTTTGCCATAAATAGCCCTGGCTAACAGCAAACTGCTCACACTGAGCAGATCAAATTCTCTATAAGGAGAGCAGTATTTGGACCACAGCCAAATCCCACTCTTAATGTTTAAAACTGCTGTATCAATTTTTTTTTTCTAATTCAATGAGCAAAATATATTAAGGAGTAGTAGCTGAAAGTTCCTAAACCTCAGAGGTATTATTAAACTTTTAAAGGGTAACATTTTCCAAATTATTTTCATTATGACCAAATAAGCACCAAGAGCTTCCTGCTTCTACTACTCAACTACTTAGAAATGTAAATATGAATAATAAAAAGAAAACTACCCTAATTCATCCAGAGAAATCAGATATTGCAGAGTACTTATGTCAAAATGCAAAAAAATAATTTCTGATCTCCATATTAAAACATAAGGAAATAAACTGTTTATAAAAGTACTGCTCTAAAATAATGGTATTTTATATTACTTGGCTTTAGGATAGAGTATTTTTAAACCAAATAAATCAAATTCGGAAAATATCAAGCATGAATATTGTACAAAAAAAATTCTCAAATGACCAGTGCAGAGATTAATAGCCGTTTACCCTAGAAGCTGTTTCACATAACATTTTTCAAAATTTCCAAGGAAAACAAGGCAACGTTCTGTAATATGCCACAATTTTTATTGCAACGTGGCCATTTGTGTGAGGGTGGGGAGTCTGATCTCAAAAACAATGTTCCATTTAAGGCTCTTTTATACAGAAACTGCCATCATGACTGATACTCAAAATATCTTTAGTGTTGCAAGACTCACATGGTAAACATAAAACTCCTACACTTATTCAGTAGTGTACACTCAATGGAAAACAAAAAGGCATTAACACAGCTATTTCTTTTACGAAGGTATGCAGTAACAGGAATGAACGCTGAGGTACTAGGATCAGTTGATGACACAGTTTATGCAACTTAATTGGCATTCCTTTTGGGGTGGGGGGTTAAATTCATTACAAAAAAAAGTGCTTTCGATGCATAGTGTTATTATCTGTGCTGCCATGTCACAAAAATAGGCTTGCCAAGGCAGGTGAGGTGTATGAATGCTTGAGCCTCACAGAGCTGCAACCAAGTGCAACTCTAAATAATACTGAATAAAGTTTACCATCTGACCAGTGGATAATACTTTCAAGGCATTCAATTAGCTTACCCTTTTCAGTATTCTAAGCTATTCACATTGACAATCACGTTCATTGTAGTGCCTGCTGCAGGGGAGGCGTATAACCAGTTGTTTTGGCTAAAGTACAACAGAAAGGCATTCCTTGGGTTCTACATAAAAGTAACAGTATTAACAGTCTAATGGCAATCACTGATAGGATGCTTAAATGAATGGTATCTCCTTCATTCAAGTGTTGAAAGGGCCCGGAGAGGAGGGGAAAAAAAAAACCCTAATACTATTTCAACTGACTGAGGTGGAGAAATGGAAGCTCCTTAAGATCCAGATGGCACTTGACTGGCATTTTATAAGGGTTTTCCTTCAAGTGAAACTACTACATTGCCTCCCAATTTCTCTCCAAGTGTCGAGCGGTCCTTAATATCATCCAAGCCATTTACTTGCCACTCATGTTTAATACCTAAAAAAAAAAAAAAGACAAATTATCCCGTTACCTTATTTCAAATAAGAAAGAGTAATTTCTCTGCCCAAAATACTCAATGTTTGTACCTGTAAATTTCTTTTTAATGGCATCTTTAGAACTAGCATAAATCATCTTGCTTTTTAAAGGTGCACTTTCGGGAGCCCTACAGGGGGGAAAAAAAATGTTGAATCCCAATTATAAGAAAAACAAAGGCAAAACTGACTATGTTAATAGTAATCCTTGCATTTTAAAAGTACTTTTTTCTTTTGTTTTTACACACCAGAATATAAATACTAGGTCTTCTTTCTTAGACTCTTTTGTTTCGTATGTGGCATCGTACAAAGCATATCGGCAATCATTCAGAGGTAGCAACTTCACAAAAGATGTGTAGGGGTCCTCTACAGTATCACCAATGTCACCCACCAAGATCTGCTTTGCTTCCTCTACAATTATTTGTCTTTTGTCATCGCTTAAACAGAAGAGGACTGCTTTCTTTCTTTTTTTGATCTCCTCTTGTGTAGAAGATTTCCTTACTTTCATATCATTAAAAACTTTGATGACTTCATCATTCACTGTAACTCCAGAAGCCTGGAAATAAACAAAGGGCAGTAATTCAGAACAAGTATTTTGGTTTTAACCAAAATTACTGTTTGCCTAGCAATTCACTTCAGTCTGGGCATAAAAAATTCCATCATACCATCCAAGGAGTCCAATCAGATTTATCACATTTTAAGCAATCAGTATGAGCCACCTAAGGATTCTAAGTCATCCTGCCCCATTCATCCTTTTTAAGAGGGTTTAGAGTTTGAAGGAAATGGAAGGTAGAGTGAAAGGGACAAATACAAGCTGTCCCATCCCTGAAATGTTTCCTATTTCACTGGGTGATGTCAGAGCTTCAGGAGCAGCAGCAAAAATACCTTCTGTATTGTGTCAACTCTGCAGGCCTTAAAAAAACACTTGGATTTCAGTTAATGCGTCTAGAATTTTTTTCTTTAAAGTCATTCTAGCCTGTGCCGTTTCCTCATAAGGAAAGAGAATCAAGTGTAAACTCCAAACCGCCCATGGCTACAACGTAATTGCCCCACAGCTCAAATCCAGACACTTCAGACCTAACGGGTCGCGTGTAAAAGCTTTTTTCCCGCGAGAAAGCATTTTTAAGACTTTTCCCACCTCCTTAATCTCTCCGTATGGGATGTATTACAGACCATCACGACCCTGACCAAAAACCTTTAGCAAGGGCTTTAGAGCACGTATCAATTTTAGAGCGAGCGTGTTAAAATTAGGAGACGAAGGGCAAACGCGGCAACCGCCGGGCTGCGCCCCGCGGTCTCTCCAGCGCCCCCGTCCGCAGTGCCATGTGCCGCGGCTCCTCCCGCCGCTGTCCGCCCGGCCCCAGGCCCCGACCTCGCCCGCGCCGGGGCCCTCCAGCCCCCAAGGAATCCTAAGAGCAGCGGGGTCGGGCCTGACGGCAGAAGGGCAGGCCGGCCAGCTGGACAGCAGCGGGGCCACAGGGCAAAAGTGCCCACCTCGCAGGCCAATATCGGGCTAAAATGGCGGCCTCGCTCCCCGAGCCCTGAGGGGACGCGCGGTGGGCTTTGCTCGCCGAGACCCCGCTCCCGGGCTAGTGCGCCCGCCTTACCATAGTGCCCGCGTCTGTGGCTGCGGCGGCTGCTCAGGCGTCGGCTGCTCAAGCTCCGACTCTGTGGCACTGGGGAGGAGGAGAAGGAGGAGGGGCGTAGGGCAGCGCTGAGTGCGGGGCACGCCGGGAGCTGCAGCCCGAGAGAGGCGGAGGCGGCTCGGCGGGCTGAAGGCGGCAACTGAGACGGTCACGTGGCTATGCCCCGCCCCGCCGGCCCCGCCCAGCTCCCAGGCCGGCCCTTCTGCCTTGCAGCCCTGCCCGCTCGCGTCCTACGCTTGACCCCTGCGCGCGCCGAGCAGGCCCGGAAGGCAGTGCGGCCTGAGTTGCGGCTTTAGGACTGGGGAGCGGTTCCTTCAGCCCCGGGGCAGCACCCGTCACCCCGCTGAGAGAAAATACTCAGCACTCAGTTTCCAGACTGCCTCTCTGAGAGCACCTCTTCTGGGATTGTGCGCGTTAGGGACGGACGGCAGGTGAAGGTGGTTTTCCTTCATTCACCTCTAGTTTCCACAGAAAGGGGCTAAATCTCAACGTTGTGAGTCTTTTTGGAAACCCGTCTTAGGGCATTGCATTTAGCTCTCCTTGCTCCAATTAAATGAAAATGAACATTACAGTTGATTAAATTACTCAACAAAACAAAATGAAACGTCGAGGTGTGAAAACACTCCAAAAGCCTATAGTTGAAATAATAGTACCAAAAAAATAAGTGGTTACATTCTTTGATAACATCTCTATATTTTAGACTTCATAGGAAATGGATTATACTCTCTGTTAATAGTCTTTTCATGAAGCCCCAGCTGTGAGAGCGGGCATCAAATAAATGGACGTTCTAAGGTGCGTCTGATCCAAGCCATGGCCTTATATGCATGCAAAAGCCGGACAGTGAAAAAAGGAAGACAGGAGAATTGAACTGTGGTTTTGGTGAAGAATACTGAATATACTGTGGACGGCCAGAAGAACGAACGAATCAGTCTTAGAAGAAATACAGCCAGAATGCTCCGTATAAGAGACGATGGCGAGACTTTAGCTCACTTTCTTTGGACACAGTATCAGGAAAGACCAATGGCTAAAAAAAGATAGGTTGTTTGGCAAAGTAGAGGGTCAGTGAAAACGAGAAATCCTCAGGGAGATGAATTGACAATAGCTGCAACAATGGATTCAAACATACTAAATATTATGAAGATGGCGCAGGACTACCCAGCTTTTCATTCTGTTATACATGAGTTGGAGCCTATTGGACAGGGAACGAACAAGAGTCAATTCTTCTCTCTTCTTGGCTATCACAACCTCTTTTAGTAAAGCCTGCATAATTGAGCCAACGCAGTTTCTCTAAACCTTTTTTGATTGCACTTATGTAAATATCCTATTTATCATAGAAAAATTGGTGCTCTATTCTTTGAGGAAAATTTCCACAAAGATTTAACACTTTGTGTTAATAATGAGTGTTATAAATGAAACTCTTCATGTGTTTATCTGTTTATAATGAAAAGAAGATTTAGTAAAGTGTTCAATTACCTGGTGTTGATTTATGCTACTTTTTCTCCTAAACATTTACTGTTTCTGCCTTACTCTCTTCATTTGTAAATTAGTAGAATGAATTTAAAACTCTGATCAATAGTTAACCTTATATTGTAAAAAAGACTTGCATTACAACGGTAGAATTATTGTTGCTGAAACAGTTGGGAACAAAACAAATAAATCCAGGTAAACCTTGGAGCAAACTACACTAGAAGTGCAATGTGGGGCAAGAACTTTGAGTTGGGAGTTGGGAGACTTGAGTGGTAATCCTGGCATGGCCTCTATCTCCATCATCTTGAAAGGCTCTCTTAATTCCTGCAGACTTCAGATTCTTCATCTATAAAACAAGTTCTCTTTTTTGGCTACTAACCGAAATGTTGGAGGTTTAAATCTTATTTGCCTTGGAAGAAAAGACTTGGCAGTCTACTTCTGAATGATCACAGCCATTGAAAACCCTATGGAGCACAGTTCTACTCTGAGACATATGGGGTTGCCATGAGTTGGAACTGACTCAATGGCAACTGGTAACTGGTAAGGCCGTTTTTCAGCTTTAAAATTCAGTTTATGAGTCTATCAGTGTTCAGTACGAAGTAGTGTGTTTAAGTGTCCTCAGGCTGGGATTAAATACATTTAGTGATGGCAAATCATGAGCAGGGAGTATGCCCAAGATTGTGTGATACATTCCTTTATCCAGAATTTAATATATTTTAAACAGGAGCATGTTAGCTATTGCCCACAAAACATAGACCTAGTTTTTATGTCCATACCGTGCCATTTACTTTCTTAATTGGAAGATTAACATGGCTTAGAGACAAAAATTGACAAGAAACCTCCCAGTATCTAAGCATGAATCCCAAGTAGATAATAATATTTTACATTTAGAAACTACATTACAATTTATGAAACTTTCCCTTCTTTCTCTTTCTTGAAGTTCTAAGAAAGTCACGGAGAATGGCTCTGTAGAGCTCCAAACCTTTGCTGAGTGTGGGTATCAGCAACTCTTCTCCTTCCTGGACTCTTCCTCTCAAGGTCTCTCTCCCTTTCTGGCCTTGTAGATTTGTAGCAGAGAAATTCAAACTGTGCAGCAGCCCCCGACAGAGACCAGGACTGGCTACAAGAGGACCTAGATTAGGAGTCAGAACTTCTTGCACCAAAGCTGGACATTCCAAAGATGTTAGTCACACCCCAGCTCTAACCCAGGCTCTCTAAGCCTCCCTTTTCTTCTTTCCCTCCCCATACAGAGTTCAAACCTCCCATGCTCTAGGATTCTTTTCTTGCAGACATTTTTGTCTTTGCACGTCTTCCATCGCATCATAACTGCTTGTTTATGTGTTCTGCCACCCCACTAGACTGTAAGCTTCTTAAGAATCTGAGCCCTGGGGGCCAAGATGGTGGAGTAGTCAGATGCTTCCAGTGGACCCTCTTACAACAAAGACCAAAAAAAACAAGTGAATCAATTATATATGGCAATCTGGGGGCCCTGAACATCAAAGGCAGAGTTGAGGAACCGGATTGAGTGGCAGGGGGAGGGAGAGACGGTTCGAAAGCAGCGAGGAATTGCCAGACCTGACCCAGCAAGAGCCTGAGACCTTCAGGCCTGAGCAGCTTGGGGGTGAGTGGTGAGGCAGGCAAGCAGCCATGCTCGGGAGGCACGTTTTCCACACTGGGAGAGACCCAGTGCCAGATAACCTACTTGGCCACCTAGAACCAGTGAGAAGCAGCCCTGTATCTGCAAAAGATAAGTACTTATGTATGGCCTACCGCGCAAATCAAAAACACCCCCCCTTAGGAAAAAACCTCTTTCCCATTTACCTCCCCACTCCCTGCTCTGCACTGAGTCCTGGACTGGCTTCAGCAATTGCCAAGTCCCTTGGGCTGGAAGTAGGATCCATCACACACCTGGAGCCATTTTCCTTGCTTGGAAAGTGAACAAATTAACAAACAGGAAAAAATAAACTGCTGGCTCTCCTAAGCCAGAAACCCAGGGTAGGCACAGCTCCTTTGCCTAGGCCCAGGCATAAGGGATCCACAGATTTTGAGTGCCTTTCCCCCTGTGGACTTGTGTGGGCCCATCTCAACAGAGTAGGCCCTGATTACTGCAGTACAACAGGGTATATACCGGAACTCTAACTTCAACTGTTTCAGCTGTGAAGTGGCAGGTTCTTGACATTTGACACAGCTCGGCCCATTAAGCAGGGTCTTCACCTACACACAGCAGGGGCCTGAGGACTGATGACTCCACCCACGCCACCTAGCCACCTGCGATAGGGGCCCATGAATAAGAGGTGCCCCCCAGTTCTTACAGCCAACAACACTAGGTGCTCATAGTCCGGCTGCAAAACCCACCTACCTACATGCTCTAGGGAACAGGGACACGCCTTCCTCCTGAACACTAGAAGACAGTCGTCAGCCCCCTGCCCTGCTCAGAGTGTGTGCCCCTGCTGTAGCCAGTTGCCTGTGCCTACACCAATCACCCTTGCTTGTCTAGGACTGTAAGTGAGAGGCTACGCCACACACTTAGTGGCTATCTACATGGGCACCTGAGCTGAATCCATACAGGAGGAGTGTGCGGACTCCTAAGCTCACATACCTAGTAACAGGTCTAACCACCTGGTGACAGGACATTAGAGCTTCAAAGTTGCCAATAATCAAACTAGCTCTAATCAAACTAGCTCATACAAGCAGACTGTTTGAGCATATCAAAACAAAACAAGAAGCTAAGACACAGTAAGTAAACATAAAATAAATAAATATAATAACTTATTGATGGCTTGGAGACAACAGTCAATATCAAATCACATAAAGAGGCAATCCATGATGGCTTCAGCAAGCTCCCAAAATAAAGAATCTAGAAATTTTCCAGAGGAGAAAAATTTCTTAGAATTACCGGAGGCAGAATACGAAAGATTAATATACAGAACTCTTGAAGAAATTAGGAAGGAAATTAAGCAAAAGGCAGAACACGCAATAGAGGAAATTAAAAAGATTAGAGAAAAGCATAATGACAAACTTGACAGGCTGCAAGAATCCATAGAGAGACAGCAATCAGAAATCCAGAAAGTTAACGATAAAATGTCAGAATTAGACAACTCAATAGAAAGTCATAGGAGCAGAATTGAGGCAATGGAAATCAGAATGAGTGAGACTGAAGATAAAGCATTTGACACCAACTTATTTGAGGAAAAATCAGATAAAAGGATTTAAAAAAATGAATTAACCCTGAGAATTATGTGGGACTCTATCAAGAGGGATAACCTACAAGTGATTGGAGTACCAGAACAGGGGGGATAACAGAAAATACAGAGAGAATTGTTGAAGATTTGTTGGCAGAAAACCTTCCTGATATCATGAAAGATGACAAGATATCTATCCAAGATGCTCATCGAACCCCACATAAGGTAGATTCCAAAAGAAAGTCACCAAGACATATTATAATCAAACTTGCCAAAACCAAAGATAAAGGGAGAATTTTAAGAGCTGCTAGGGATAAACGAAAATTCATCTACAAAGGAGAGACAATAAGAATAAGCTCGGGCTACTCAGCAGAAAGCATGCAGGCAAGAAGGCAATGGGATGACGTATATAAAG